AGGCGGGAGGGACATTTCACAAGTTATATAGATATAAATTCAGAAAAAATCACTAAAACTATCCCACTAAATTATATCATTGCTAGCACCCATTAAAATATTCTATTAGGCTATTATAATATCAAAAACAAAAAATAAACAATGCTGGTGAGGATGCTACTACGCTGTTGGCAGGAATGTAAATTAGTATAGCCACTACGAAAAACAGTGGGGAGATTCCTCAAAAAACTAAAAACAGATCTACTATACAATTCGTTTTTATTTATTTATTTATTTTTAAAGAGACAGGGTCTCGCTCTTGCTCAGGCTGGTCTTGAACTCCTGAGCTCAAGAGATCCTCCCACCTCGGCCTCCAAGAGTGCTAGGATTACAGGCATGAGCCACTGTGCCTGGCCTCTACCGTGCAATTCAGCAAATTCCACTGCTGGGTATACATCCAAAAGAAAGGAAATCAGTATATTGAATAGATATCTGTGCTCCTGTGTCCATTGCAGCACTATTCACCATAGCCATGATATGGAATTAATCTAATAGTCCATCAATGGATGAGTGGATAGCGGAGATTTCTGATTCCAAAATGGTGGTATGGAAGCAAGCTGGCTTCACTCCCCTTTAAAGAAAACCAGTGGATGAATGGATAAAGAAAACGTGGCATTCATGCACAATGAAATACTATTCAGTCATAAAAAATGAAATCCTGTCATTTGCAGCAACATGAATGAAACTGGAGTTGTGTTAAGTGAAATAAGTCAGGCAAAGAAAGATAAGTATCACATGTTTTCATTCATATGTTAGAGCTAGAAAAGTTAATCTTGTGGAGGTAGAGAGTAGAATAGTAGTTACCAGAAGCTGGGAAGAGTTGGGGGGAGTCTGGGAAAAAGAGAGGTTGCTTAACAGGTACAAAAATATATAGCTATATAGAAGGAAGGAGTCCTAGTGTTCAATAAGCCAGTAAGGTGACTATAGTTAACAATGATTTATTGTATATTTCAAAATAGCTAGAAAAGATTCAGCATGTTCCCAACATAAAGAAATAATAAATGTTTGAAGTGATGACTATCCCAATTACCCTGATTTGATCAGTAAACATTGTATGCATATATTGAAATATCATACGTAGCCCATAAATATATAAAGTTATTATGTATCAAGTAAAATTTTTATTAAAATATTATTGATGGTAGCCATCATTTTTATTATTTAAAAAGTTATTAAATCTCTTTGGTCACCAATTTATCTCTGCCATAATCCCATCTATTCTTCAGAGTACCAACACCAACATTACTTTTTAGTTTCCCTCAATGGACTATTGTCAAATATGTGAATTTCTGACTGCCCTGAAATCCAGATAAATCAATGGGCATTTTGAAAAATACAAAATATGGGATTCGTTTTTAGCTAAAAAAAAACAATTACTCAAGACCTTGGTTGGCCAAAAGTAGAATTTATTCACATTTGCCTTTGTTTTCCTTTCTAAATACAATGGGCTGGGGTTCCATCTGCTCCACTTAGAAAACAGAATGTTTAGATCTGATGGCAGTTCAGGCACAGTTTTTTTTTGTTTTTTTTGAGACAGAGTCTCGCTTTGTTGCCCAGGCTAGAGTGAGTGCCGTGGCGCCAGCCTAGCTCACAGCAACCTCAAACTCCTGGGCTCGAGTGATCCTTCTGCCTCAGCCTCCCAAGTAGCTGGGACTACAGGCATGTGCCACCATGCCCGGCTAATTTTTTATATATATATCAGTTGGCCAATTAATTTCTTTCTATTTATAGTAGAGACGGGGTCTCGCTCTTGCTCAGGCTGGTTTTGAACTCCTGACCTTGAGCAATCCGCCCGCCTCGGCCTCCCAAGAGCTGGGATTACAGGCGTGAGCCACAGCGCCCGGCCAGGCACAGTTTTTAATAATCTAACTTCACAATATATACACACGATGAATATTAATATTATAGAAAAAACTATTATAAACTAATAGTTACTGTGAGCCCCATGCTGTGCTATTAATAGTTCTCTTCTGTTACCACATTTACTTAATAAAGCCACTAATGTTATTCAATGTTCAGTACTTCTTTTAAATGCAGCCTGGTATAGTGCAGAGGTTTTCAAATGTCAGTGGACATTGGAGTCACCTGGGGAGGGTGTGCCGAACACAGATTGCTGGGCCCCACCCTCAGAGTCTCTGATTCAGCTGATGAGGAGGGTGAGGTTGAGAATTTGCATTCCTAACAAGTTTCCAGGTGATGCTGATGTTGTTGGTACAGAGTCCCCACTGTGAGAATCACCAGCATAGTAGTTAAAAGGGGTAACTTTATTATCAGACTGCCCTGGGTTTGAGTCCTCTAACTTTGGGTAAATTACATAAACTTTTCTATCTTCATTTTCTCATTTGTAAAATTATACCTCCATCATTAGCTATTTGGGGATCAAATGAGATAATATGTGTGTAATGTTTAGCACAGTGTATGCATTAGAACTCCACAAACGTTAACTGCTACTGTAGCATTTACTACAGTACTGCTGTTATTACTAAATGGAATTAGAAAATAACTGATTTCAAAATCACTTTTAAATTGTCAATGCTGCCTTTTCTCTTTACCTGGAGTTGAGCTCTGACACCTAATAAACCATGACATCATAATGGATTAGTAACTAAGACTCCAAGAAATGATATATTGGATTTTTCATATTATTATGGAGGTTCTTCATCATAACTTAAGAAAAATACATAAAATAAGTGTCATTTTTTATAAGAAACATAACCCTGAAAAAAAATCTAGGAAAAAGAGCTATAATTGAGTTAATTTATTAACTTCATTGAACATTGAAGATACTATTATTGGCTATCTAACAAATAGTTCCATTCGGTGGTTAAACCCATACAAGCACACACACACATACCCCAAAACAAACAAAAAAACAGGAAACTTCATGAAAAATTGCTTAATCTTAAGCAAATTTTTAGAAGAATTAGCATATAATTTTGGCCATAGGAAATCCCAGTAACTTATTCAAATGAAATTGGCCTGCTACTAATCTGAGAAATTATAGCGTCCTAGAGATGGCACAATATAGAAATTGGAAATATACTTACCATTTATTAATCAAATACTGACCTAGCACTGCCATTAATTGTATGATTCTGGACACCTGGAAGGTCATCCTGGGTTCTTTCAACCACTGGCATCTAGATTCTTTTTATGAACTCAATGTTTCTGTCTGCCCCCCACCACCTCCCCAGGTTCATATGTTGAAATCCCAACTCCCAATATGATGGTGTTAGGAGGTGGAACTTTAAGAGGTGATTAGGTCATGAGGTTGGAGTCCTCATGAATGAGATTAGTGCCCTTATAAGAAGAGAAGTGAGAGAATGATCTCTCTAGACCATGTGAGGATATTATAAGAAGACAGTCATCTGCAAAACAGCCTCCAGAACTGTGAGAAATAAACGTTCGATTGTTTAAGCCTCACAGTCCATGGTATTGTTACAACAGCCCGAACTGCCTAAGACAATTCTTTTTTATTTTTATGCAGAGCCACTAAAAAATACAATAGATAAGTTACTATCAAAGATTTCACCTGAATCATTTAAAACAAAAACAGTAACCATTCACATTAAAGAGATGCAATTTTCTATGTTAGCTTTGAATGCTCCAATATTCACAGTGAGATTTTAAGCAATTAATAAATGCACTTTGTTTCTTTGGTTTGAAGTTCTCTTGTGCATATAAGTAGAAACAACACTTATTACCTGGTGCTTTCTGACACTGTAGCTCAGGGCAGGGCAAATTACAGCCCCATTTTCCTCCTCTGCTATTTTCTAAATACAGTTTCATTAACACACAGCCACCTCCCTCTTTTCCCATATTGTCTAAATCTGCATTCTTCCTACAGAAAGGTTGTCAACCTTTGCTGTAGACAGTTTGTTGAGATACTTTAGTGAAAAATGTGGTAAGAAGAAATTTAATTTCCTTCCTAGAAATATCTACCCAAAAAAGATCATTTGTCTTCAATAAAATAAATTCCTAGTAGAGTAACAATAATTTAGCCTTACAGTTGGTTTTCCATTAACCCTAGACCAAAATGTTCACTAGCCAGCCCAAATGCTCAGCATCATTACAATGACATATCTACCAGCCCTGGGCAACATTCTACTCTGGGCCAGAAGTTGTCCTCAGCTTTGCATTATTCTTGCTTAATTTAAAAAGCCAGACCTAAGTTCATTAAGGCTAATGAAGTCCCAGAATCGCATCAATTGCCCAGTAACCTTGCTCTGGGAGCCGCACGGTTCTTCCAGAAGTAGTAGTTCACTTTAAGCGCCTATAAGCCTATTTTATTTTATTAAAACATGCCATTGGCCTGTTTTTAAAAATTAGTTTCTAACTTTTTAAGTACTTGAGGTACAATTTCTACGATGCTTCCCCCCTCCAAAAAAAATGAACATATTTGTTGGGTGAATGTTGAATAAACAAAGAGTGTGTCTCAGACTGGGAAGAACAGGCCCTTGAGGATCAACTCTCAGAGTTTCCTCCCCCTGTGAGGGTATGACAACCCTGCGAGCCTCAGTTTCCCTATCCTTGAAATACAGGTAATCCCTACACAACAGAATTGTGGTCAGGATTTTAAACAATGCATGTAATATGCACAGTGAGAGCCACGCACATGGTAGGTGTACAAGTGTTAATTTAGTGAATGCCGGTAAAGTGGGTTTAGTCATTTTTCTTTTCAAATTTCTTTTGGATTGAGTTGGATTTTCCTAGAGGTGAATTAGATACTTAAAAGTAGCGACCCTTAAATTTATTCAGGTAAACTTTAATACATCTAGTTTACACATTATATGAATGTATTAAGTTATCACATGTATACCGAAAATACCTATATTTATTATGTATTAAAAATTCAAAAATAAAAATAGTACATATATTAGAAAATGATCTGAGATTCTATATAAAAACTTTAATCAATTTATAATACTATGCATTTACTGTAAAAAACACTTTCAAAACAGTTTCTGGCTTGAACTGGAATGAAGATATGGAGATGAAGAGCTCCAGCAGGCTCAGGCACAGCTGGGACGTCATTGCCCCTCCTTAACCCCATTCACAAATGCTTGCCACTGGACACGCAGTGGCCAGAGAGTGAGCGCTCAGAGCATCCCCTGCTAATCTCCCCTCCCGACAGCAGAGGCGATAGTCATCCTTGCACAGATGATCCAGGGCTGTGCAAGGCCTTCGTTCCAGCCCGTGGGGACAGTGACGCACAGTAAAGCACTGACTTAAGGCAGCTGGGAGATAAGAACTGCAGCTCCACTTCTGCAACTCTGCACGACCCCAGGCAACCCAGGCACTCTCCATTCTGAGCCCCAGGTGCCTTTAGTACGGTAAAGGAAATCTCTGCAGGCCTGCGGCTCCCTGGCCTTCCCATCTGTGAAGGGTAGCGTATGCACGGACCTTAATGGACTAGGGGGCTGTATGCTAGTCTAAAACACCAACTCTCTTTGATTTGAGACAAGTTTCTCAGACATTTGTACCTCAAAATATCCCACATTGGCTCTTTGCTCAGCTGCCACGTTCTGGCCCTTGTGATGATCTGGTTTCCAGACATATTGAGCACAATAAATGAGTAGTCCCCGGCGGGCTTCTAATGGCCGTCTCCTCCCATATAATCACTTAGTCGCCCATTCTAGAATCACGCTAGCATCTAGGACCTTGTTGCTGTCTAATTGGTTTGCTCTTTACAGAAATTGCTCTTCAAAAACTGGGACAATAGTTACCAATCTCTAGTCATTTGGGGCATTTGCTTACGTGCTCTTACTTTCTCTTCTGTGTTCTGTTCTTATTCTTCTATTAAACAAAATTACGGGAGGCCTTTGTTTTGGACTGAGCCCATGCCCTAGGCCCCAGCAGACCAGACCAAACCAGAATAGAGTCACACCCTTCAAATGCCAATTAGTCAAACTGAAACTTAAAGAAAACAGATAGAGCCCAAGGCAGAGTAGTTTTTCCTGAAAACAAGAGATTCCGGCCTGTTTTAGCATAATAAGGAATTCCCCCCTGCTTTAACCCTTACAAGAAAGTAATCTGGTGTTACCCAATCCATTTTTTTTCTATTGTTCTGTTTCCTTGTTCCCACTTTATAAAACCCATTGTTCTGCCACTGCCCAATGAGAGCTCTCATTCTATTTTACAGAATAGAGGCTGCCTCAATTCATGAATCACAAATAAAAGCCAATTAGAGCTATCACCAAATTAGTTGTAATTTTGCCTTTTGACCCTGCCAACTGCTCTTTTCAGGCCACTATGCTCCCTGACCCCTCCTCCCCCATAGAATCAGATAATGGGGTCACTGGGGCACCTGGAAGGTAAGAAGTGACACTTCCTTGGATGTCAGTTTGGGGAGAAAACAGCAGCAAAATAGTAATAGCAGCTGGAGTGGCAGCAGCTATGGTGGCAGCATTGTCCACAGCACTGGAGGTGAGACGGTGACCGTGGCTGCAGCCATGGCTGATCTCTGTCCCTGCCTCCTAAGTCACAGTTCCACTGGGTTAGGGAGAACTTGGTGTCCTGTGGTTACTAATCTTCCAGTAATCTAATCTTTTTTCTTGCTCCAGCAGTCTTTCCAACACTCATGTAGCCAAGTTTTGTATTAAATTCTCTCAATTTGAAATATCTAAAATGGCATCTCTTTTTCTAAATAAACCCTGATTAATACTATATGTAATTTGCCAGAGCTTGAATCCTTAAACTAATTTAGAGCTGCCCTATGATCTTTATTTTGAAATCTGGAGCTTTAAAAGTCTGGATACGACCAGCTGCTCATTTCATATTATAGAATAAAATCAACCAAATGAAAGATTAAAAAACTATTTTTATCAAACTCCAATAAGATTCGAGAAAGGATATAATTTATTTAATGCACTAGAAAGTGTTTGCTATGGTTTGAATGATTTCCCCAAATTTCCTGCATTGGAAACTGAATCCCCAGTGCAATAGTGTTGGGAGGTGGTTAGGTGATGAGGGCAGATGAAATAGTAAGATAATAAGAGGTGATTAGATCATGAGGGTGGAGTAGCATCATTATTGTGGGAGCGAGCTTCTTATAAAAGCCAGTTCACTCTTCTCTTCCCCTGATGCCCTCTGACATATGCTCTCTTGCCCTTTTGCCTTCCAAGATGGGATGACCCAGCAGGAAGGTCCTCACTAGCTGCAGCCCCTCAATCTTGGACTTCTCAGCTTCCACAATGATGGGTCAAGTGTCCCTCATCTGAAATGCTCAGGACCAGAAGTATTTTGGATTTGGGATTTTTTTTGGACTTAGGAATATTTGTATGATTATTATTATTATAATAATTGTGTTTGTAGCCAAAATCTGAAAGCCCAAAATTTGAAAGACTCCAAAGAGTGTTTCCTTTGAGCATCATGTCAATGTGCAAAAGATTTCAGATTTTGGAGCATTTTGATTTCAGATTTTCAGACTTGGATTCCCAATCTGAATAAGAAATAAATCTCTATTTTTCATAAATGACCCAGTCTCAGGTATTCTGTAATAGCAGCAAAAACAGATTAAGGCAGTGTTCATAATAGTAACTCATGATTTGTTGTTATTAAAATATTTCACTGTGACAATACCATTATGAAATTTATTTTACAAACAACTTTCTTCAGGGTATTTTTTTTTAATTTGAGGCTTATACAAAACCACCTGATAAAAATAGACGCAATCATGCTTGGGCTTTTAGATTCAAAGTCTGTTTCCCCATCTGTTATTCAAAGTCTAGGTCTATATGACCAAAGCAAAATGGAGGATTGTGAAATTATCCATTGACTCACAGACAAATAGAATATCAGAGTAGGGAAGGGGCAGCTGTGCTTATTTGATTCAACACCAGTCAGAAATATGATTCTTTGAATGTCTGATAACCATGGAGTGGATATCTATACTCTGTTTGGATACCCTCAATTATAAGGAAGTCATTACCTTGCCAGGCAGCCCATTCAATCATTGGACAGCTTGGATTACTAGAAATGCACCCCTTTTATTGAGCCCAAGGAATGAGCTGCCACCACTGAGGCTTCTACTCATAGGTCCTAGTTGCTCCATTTAGATTTGTACAAAATAAATAGATTCTCTATTCTATTTGAAAGCTTTTAAAACCAATATATAGATAGCTATGATATCTATTTATAGAAACAATCTCAACATCTAAGAGGAAGGTCCAGTGACATGGGGGAAGTTCTTGAGGTCAGGTGAACCCTCTGACTACACTCTGAAGGCTCCCTGGAAATGATGAACTTTGAAAACAAAACAGGCTTTCCTTTCACACATCTGTACAAGCTCCTTTAGAGACTCAACCACTTCCCCAAAGAGGCAAACTTTCATAAATTTCCCAGAAGTGAGGTCATTGAGGGCTACTTTGGCTCTAGGGACGTTCCTCTTCCCCCTGAAACATGAGGACACTGCAAATCCAAGAAAAGCATACTTCTTTGAGAACCTGACCCAGAAATATTTCTTACACATCACTGTGCTAGTGTGAATGGTGGCAGCAGAGGAAAACGAAAGTGAAAGAAGGAGAAATGGCAGGACATAAACTTTAGGATTTAGATAGGGACTAAATTTTAAATGGCTTTGTGTGACAAATCTAGAAGCTTGGATGCCATCCTACAGCAAAGAGGAGTCATTGCCCCATGCAATGATCATGATTGCAATGATATTGTAAAAAGATTCCCCTGGTGGCAGCATGGAGCAGGAATTGGTGGGAGACAAGGTTGGCAGTAAGGCAAGTGGTCAGAGGCAATAATGCAGGAAAGAAATGATAAATGAATGAATATGATGATGTCAGTAGGGAAGCACAGGATGGGGATAGAGTGAATGGGGTTTTAGTGATTGATTGGATATGGAGGGAAAAGGCAACTGGGTAGATGATAGAATCATTCGCAAAAGAGAAAAAAAGCATGAGGAATAGCAAATTTAGGTTGCAAAATTTGATGAGACCTGTTTGGAGCATGTTAGATTTGAATGCCTCCAGCTTGCACAAGCAGAGATGACCCACAGGCAGTTGAAGAAGTGGTCTGGCAGTTGAGAGAGAGAGACAGAAGGCAGAAGATATAGATTTTGAAGTCATCAGTATATGGGTAAATCCATGAGAAAGGATGAGATCCATCTATCATTCATTCATTCATTCATTCATTCATTCATTCAAGCACTCATTCCCCTATCCACTAAAGTAATATTTAATCACTGACTTTGTGCCAGTAGCATTATATGTGTGGCTAAATATTTGTGCATCAGTGAACAAAAAGACACAGATTTCATGTTGATGGTCCTTACATAATTGTGGGAAGGAGACAAACAATACACAAGGAAGTAAAAGGCAATGCCAGATAATATTAATGCTCTTAAGAAATATAAAGGAAAGTAAGAGAACAGGATGAAAAGTGATTAGAGAAGGTCTCCCTGAAGAGGTTAAACGTAAGCAGAAAACTAAAAGAAGAAAGAGGGTAAGCCAGGAGAAGACAGGAGGGAAGAGTGTTCTCTGAAAATGAAAGGGATGGGCAAAGGCCCTGGGGTGGAAACACATCAGACCTGTTGGATAAACATCAGGGATCATGCAGGGAGAGTGTGTAACATAAGGATGAAACCTGGAAAGGATAGAAGTATGGGAACATCAACCTTTGAAGAGTGGGCAAAGAAAGCAGACAAAGGAGGACTGATCAAAATTATAGAAGGAAGGGTGGCTAATTTTGTATTCTGTGAATTTAACACCATAGTCTGATAGCTTTCTTCTCAAATATCCACCACTCCTGTTTATAGCTGTGTTTATACACACAGCGGCAGAACACATCTAAGAACTCACATCTCCTCCACTCCCACTCTAGCTCCAGGGGCCTTCCTGAAGCCTGGCAACTGCCTGCCTCTGAGCATTTGCGTATTTTCTTGCCTCTTCCTGGAAGTTCTGGAGAAAGGATGGGGTAGGACACCACATCCTTCTTTACCGCCAGGATTCCACTGACTTGTGACTTCCTTGGGGAGGCTGTACCTCAAGTCTAGAGACAAAGATCGGTTCTCCTGTTACTCATTCCTAAAGCAATCTGATCTTTATAACTCTAATCACAATTGGGATTAAATACATACTCATGTAGTATTACTTTCCTCCTCCTAGACAACGGACTCAACCAAGGTAGAAAGCATGTCTAGCTTGTTCACTCTGTGCATTTATTATTAATAGTGTTCTATAGAGAAACAGGACCACTGAGATATATATGTATAAACAGATTTATTATGAGGAATTGGCTCATTGACTCTGACCAGGAATGCGATTATGGAGGCTGGGAAGTCCCACGTTCTACTGTCCGTAGCTGGCACTCCAGGAAAGCCAACAGTGTGGCTCAGTCCAAGTCTGAAGGCCTGAGGACCAAGGAAGCCGATGATGTAAGTCTCAGTCCGAGGGCAGGAGAAGGTGAGATGAGATGTCCCAACTCGGCAGCCAGGCAGAAAGGAGTGAATTCTCCCTCGCTTCATCTTTGGTTCAATCCAGGCCCTCAGCAAGCTGGATGTGCCCACAGATGTGGGAGAGGGCAGTGCTCTTTACGGAACCCACTGATTCGGATTCTGATATGGCCAGGAAACACCCAGCAGACACACCCAAAATCAATGTTTAGCAAAAAATCTGGGCAAATTGACACATAACATTAACCATCACACACCCTGTGTCTCTAAAGTCTTTGCAGCACAATGTAGGTGCTCAGTAACTATTTCTTGATTAAAGTAGATGAATGAATGAATGGATTTTTATGATTTTCTGTAAAATCATAGACATGACTACAGACTAAGCAACTACAAAGTTGGTAAAAAAATAAATAAATAAAATAACTGACAGTGATCAGTCTCAGCATGCTAGCCTGCTGATAGATTGCACTACTTAGGTTTCATTGGCAGTTACTCTCAGAGTAGCACCCAGAAACACCCCACCTCTACACATGTGAAAGACGCCACCTCAGTCGCACCACTCCTTGAAGAAGAAATTCAAAATTTATGGACTGTAAGTTTAGTTTAGATCCAGTCCAGATGCTATTTGAATGTTTTGCTTTGGTTCTAGTTCAGTGCTTCTTTAGCAAAAAAAAAAAAAAAAAAGAAAAAGAAAAGAAAGAGAAAGAAAGATTATTATATGTTCAAAATGGCTTATTAGTTGTTTCAAAATAAATAAAAAGAAATTATTTGTTCTGGTTGCCAATCCGTTGAAAAAAATAAGCAAAAAGTTAACATATACTTTGGGGTTGCAGTCATCAGGCTGTTGTAATTTTCCCTAATATTTGTTCAGAGTTGTATATTTCAAATGTCCAATTTTAAGGAGAAAATAACAATGGGCTTCAATTATGGATAGAGGGACTGGATTATGTGTCTGCAATAGCAATCTTTTCGGATACTGAGAAATCTGGTTTTCATATAATTATCTGTGACCTTAAATATCCCTGTCATTGGTCCCAAAACCCATTAGCTCCTTTTGGAGCCCATAAACATTATCAAGCTCAGATATTCTGCCAGCCATATGTGTTGCCTTGGGGGTTTGGTTTCAGCCATTATTTTACGCAGACTGGTGCTATTTATCACTAGCTCGACACACACTTCTTTTTTTCACCAAGGATGGATAAAGTAATATTCAAGTGGTAGAAGTTCTGTGAATAGTGGGTTTAATATTAATGGCCAAGAAATATGCTGATAAAAAGTACCCACCCAATAGCATTAGTTTTTACATATGCAGTTGTCCCTCAATATCCATGGGGTTGGTTCCAGGAACCCCCAGAACCAAAATCTGTAGATGTTCAAGTCTCTGATATAGATAGAGTAGAATTTGCTTATAACCCACACACATCCTCCTGTGTACTTTAAATCATCTCTTAATTACTTATAATACCAAATACAATGTAAAGGCTATGCAAATAGTTGTTATGCTTTGTTGTTTATTTGTTGTATTGTTTTTTTTCTTTCTTCTTCTTTTTTTTGGGGGGGACATTTTAGATCCATAATTGGTTGAATCTGTGGATGCAGAACCCTTAGATACGGAGGACCAACTACAACCCATATATTCTCAACAGGATCTTCTCAATCTAAGAATGTACAACTTATGTATTTAATAATGTTATGCACACATCAAATGGGTTTTCAGAAGTGTCTGGAAGTCATACAAATAAATGTCAATGGTGTAGTAGAAGTATAGGTATTTTTAATTTTTTTCTTTTTTCTAACTGTATCTTCTAACATTTCTACAATAAAAATATATTACCTATGGAATAAAAATAAAATTATATTTACAAAAGAAACAGAACTTGCCTATAAAAATGTATTTTGTTCCAATTTTTAAAATGTATCAACCTGTAGAGAATTACCCAGATTCATCACTGTGTAGGATTATATAGTCAAAAAGACCTATAGATATATTTAACTAAGAAGATTTGATAACTAAGTCCATTATAAGGTCTGTGGGATTTTATTGACTATTAAGATTGTCATAATAGAGCTGAATTGCATTTCAGGACTGCTGGGTTCTCATCTCGACCACATTACTGAATACCATGTCTGGTTTATTGGGAGCCACAGACAGGATGTTGTCTTAACACCTAGTTCTGCCCAATAAAGAGCAGGGGAGTTGCACACCGTCTGTCCTGCCTTAGTCAGAAGGGTACCAGCACAGGCAATAGCAGGGCAGATGATTTTTCTGGCAAGGTAACAATGATCCATAGTTAAAAAAAACAAAAAAGGAATTTCAATGTTACTCCATTACTCCTAATCATGACAGAAGTAATTTTAAAGAACAAAGAAACAAGTTGCTTTGTGCTCTTCTAAGGGGTGAACATAAGGAGCCAATGAGGGCTGAGGTTCTCACTCATCATCTCATTGGCTGTCTCCCACAGCTGGGAACCTGACCCTACCCCCAGGAATAAGATTGCAGGAGGATAAACCACAAGGCCTCTGGATCCATAGTGAGAGCAAGGACACAGTAAGGAGGTGCTAGGATTACATGAAGACCTACACACTTAATGTGATGGCTAGGGCATTTCACCAACTTTCCTCCCCAGCTCATCTCCCAGAATGATGACAGCCAGGCTCAAGATAGGATGATTGTCTCAAGGGACTCTGACCAGGCCAACAGAAAACGCTGCCTTAATGACCACGGTCAACAAGCCCCTCCCATGCCCTAGCCCTGTACACACATAGAGAGTCCTCTTATCCTCTTAGTGCCCTACAAATGTGAGTGGATAGCCAAGGATGACTGAACATTTGAAGAAAGTTTCTAACATCAAAGATAGAGATGGGATCATCAAACAAAGTAACTTGGAGGTTTAGATTTTACAGGGAAGAAAAAAAATCTTAAAAACAAGTACTGATAAGAGAAGATATTGGATCAATAAAGCAAAAGAAGGAAGGAAGGAAGGAAGGAAGGAAGGAAGGAAGGAAGGAAGGAAGGAAGGAAGGAAGGAAGGAAGGAAGGAACTTTGGAGGGAGGGAGGGAGGAAGGAGAAGAGGAAGGGGAAGAAGAAGGAAAGGAAGGAAAGAAAAGAAAAGGAGGACAACATTGATAAAACAAAAAGGAGCTCTCAGAAGTTAAAAATATGATCTCTGAAACAAAATCTCAGTACAAAGATTGGAAAGTACATGGAGGAAAAGTAGAACAAAAAGTTAAGGTAAAATAGGAGAGAAAAATCAAAGAGAAAATTAGATGATCAGTCAAGAGATCTAACATCAGAGTTATAGCAGTTACAGAAAGAGTGAACAAAAGAAATAGACATGAAGAAACAATCAAAGGAATAATTCAAGAAAATTTCTCAAAATTGAATGACATGATTTTCTGGATTAAAAAGGCCTACCAAGAGCCCAGCATAATGGATGAAAATAGACCCATAATAAGCCATCTCATTATAAAATTTCATAGTACCAGGCACAAAGAGATGGAAAAACAGGTCACATATGAAAGATCCAGAATAAAAGCAGCTTCGGATTTTTTAACAACAGTGGACACTAGAAGTTAATGAAAAACTATGTTTTCATAATTTGAGAAAAAATTATTTCTGCCTTAGAATTCTATACACAATGTCTTAAGTGTGAAGTAGAATAAAGCCATTTTCAGATACGCAAGTCCTCAAACATTTATTTTTGTGGTTCCTGCTGGAGCAGTAGCACAATGAGGGAACAACACGAAGAAAGAGAACGCCATATCCAGGACACATGGGACCCAACACAAGACAGAGGTGAAGGGACTCCCAGGATGCCAGCTGTGTAGCAGCCTCGGAGAGTAACCTGAGCAGGTTGGGGCAGGTCAGACGATGCAGGAGACATGGCTCCCAGAAGAGAAAATTGATGCATTTGAGCATATGGGAAGAACATTTACACCTCTGGAGAAGAGATTGGGGTCAAATTGATCATAAATGCTTACATAACTAAGCAAAGTTTTTTAAAAAGGGTATTAACTTTGGAGAAAGCAATAAGATCTCTGAAATAAAAAGTAATCATGACACTACATGGCTCAGTTGTGAATAGTGACCACCTTTTCATACTAATGAATACTCATCTGACCATAAAAGTACTTCGACTCTATTGAGAGGTGGGGGGACCAGAAGAGTGTACACTTGTACAGGTGTATGCAGTGTGGTCAGGGAGGGGTGTGGGGAGTGCTGAATCCATATAGTCCATAAAGAAGCCATGATAATGTCCAAACCTTGGAAAACAACCGAGAAGAAGCAATGCAAGAACATTATTTAGAATTATAGTCATAATATTTTTTAAAGCTAAAAGAATTGATTGTGATTACTTGGTGAGTAGAAAATAGGGAGAAAAAATGAAAAACTGTCAGTTGCAGCACTTTTGGGCTCTCTAAACTATGCATCTGCATAAATTTGATTTAAAAATTCAAATTTTTTTTTCAAAAATGGAATGATGATATGAAATGAAGACAGAAAGTGCAGAGCAGCACTGTAAGGGAGAACTTTCCTCAAGGATGGAAATTGCATCTAACACGGCAGCCACTTGAAATGTGACTAATGTGACTGAGGAACTACATTTAAAATGTTATTAAATTTTAATTGGTTTACATTTAAATGGCCACATGGGGCTAGTGGGTGCTGTATGGCACAGTGCAGCCATGTACAATGGCCTCCTTCCTCGACTCAACTTCGTTTCTACAGTTAGCCTTTCTTCTCCTGCATCATCCTTTTTTCTGTCTTTACTGGATCATTCCCACCAGCCATGCTAAAATATTATTTATCCATCTTTTTTAAAAAAAATGCTGCTTTGACCCCATCCCTCTGTGACCATCCACCCCATTTTTCTGTTCCTTTTGTGTAATAGTAAAACTTCTCCATGCCTCCGCTGTCCCGCACAGCAGCCACTAGCCCCACATGGCTATTGAAATGTAAATCAATTAAAATTTAATAGCATTCTATATACATTAAAATTAAATAAAATGTAAAATTCAGTTCCTCAGTTGCACTGGCCACATTCCACACACCCAGTTGCCACGTGTGGCTGGCAGCTTTGTTGAGGAGAGACAGACACAGGACATTCCTATCACGGCAGAACGTTCTATTGACAGCACTGATGGGAACAGGAAGGAGGTCAGAGTAAATGACTGGCAGTTTGGCAGAGTTGGTGCTGGAAGGCTAAGAAAGTTATCTTCTGGTTATTGCCTTTTTCTCAGTGGAATAAAAAGTAAGTTCATCAGCTGAGAATGAGGAAGGGAGAGGAGATGGCGTGGGTTTAAGAAGAAAGGATCAAACGGTAGATCTACTTGTATCTCTTTGAGGTATCTCCATATTGCTTTCCACAGAGGTTGCACTAGTCTGCAGCCCCATCAGCAGTGCAGGAGTGTTCCTCTCTCTCCACACTCACCAGCAAATTGGTTTCACTGATCAACACCTAAAGTGCACATATAGGAATAACATTTGTCGCGTGTCGGGCAGATGGGAGCGGGGAGGAGGGGATGGGTATATACATACATGAGATGTGCACCGTGTGGGGGATGGCCACTCTTGAAGCTCTCACTTGGAGTGGGGGGGATGGGAGGGCAAGGGCAACATATGTAACCTAAACATTTGTACCTCCATAATATGCTGAAATAAAAAATAAATAAATAAATAAAACTATTATATATTTTTTAAAAAAAGGAAGAAGAAGAAGAAAGGAGATAGTGAGAAATAACCTTCCCAGACAGCAGGAGAGAGGATTGATAAGGGAAATAAAGAGTCGAGGTTCCACCTCATTCTTAGCCTGATTATGAAATTAAGGAAACCCAGAATCATTATGTTTTATTCTAACGTCATTGTTGTTGTTCTCAACGTTGTTATTCAAGAGACCATCCTTAAAATTGGCCAGTCTAGGTGGGAACGGAAGCATGGGGTGATTTTTTTAGCTACTCCTCTTCTCTTATTATTATTTTGAAGTCAGAAATACTGAGAAATCTCACTGTCATTCTGTGACCACAGGCTATACAGCAGGAAGGAAGGGGAGGTCCCTTCCTGTAGATGTTGTGCAGTGATTAGATATGAACTTCCTCAGTCAAGGTTCTTTTGATTTCAAGAAACAGAAACCAAGTCGATCTAATTGAAATCAGTAACGGAGGTAGACGATCATAGTGCATTGGTGTCCTAGAACCCACAGGAATGCAGCTAGTCCTCAGAGGACTTGAGCCTGGGGGAGCCAGGGGAGCTAGAAAGGTCTCAGGGCCCCAGGCAGAATCATGTTTTTCTCTCTCTCTTTTCCTCCTCCCCCTATAAATATGGTTTCCCATCTCTTCTCCACAAGAAGCATTTTTTCTGTTCTCTACAGAAAAGAGCAGCTTTTTAAAAAATTTTATTTATTTTAGCATATTATGGGGGTACAAGTGTTAAGGTTACATATATTGCCCATGCCCCCCTCCTCCCTCGAGTAAGAG